CAACAGGCCTGGTGAAATATCATTAAGAAGATTGCAAGTATATTCAAGATGATAAGGAAATAACCCTAAGTCACAATATTTAAGTAAGGTAATTCCCAAAATGAATTTTTCAATGGATGGACAGAATAATCTTTGCATTGATCATTTTCAATTATACCCATCATTTTGTTTGGTGTTCTTAAAATTAAAGATTCCTTTGACATATTCATATTATTAAGCTGATCCCTTGAAGTTAAACAAGTGTGACATGGTCTACTTGAATTACTTGTTTTATATGTTAAACAAAATGTACAAGCTTCTGGCCAATCACCAATTATCAATGAAATTTTTATTTTAAACCATATTAATTTCCCATGTAAAAAGAGATAAATACCATCTTTTTCTTGTTCAATCAAAGGTTTAATAAGTAATGACATAGCATTGTGAAACATCAAAAGAGCTAAATTTCTAAATTCCATTGTTTTCTTGGTGCTTTTGGATCCATCTATAATTGGAATATATCCAAGTAAAACTTTTGATTTATACTTGTTTCTGTATTCACAAGGAATGTTACCACTTGTTAAATAAATTGGATGTCGAGATGTTTTCCCCAGAGAATCACAATTTGTTTTATCTGAATACAAAATGATTGATAAAATCTTACAGCCAGGAGGGTTGTTTTTTTCAATCTCTTCCCACCAATTGCTATTATAAAGTTCTTTATAGCATCTCTTATTATTATTGTAAACTTTTTGATAATTAAATACACTTGCATTAAAAATTTCTTTGTTGGAAAATATCTCTGATACTGCATCTATTATTGTTCTAAAATAAAAAAAATATTCTATGCCATTATATTCTAATAATTTAATTTTATTGAAATTTAAAACTGGATCTTTCATTTTATCTAAAAATTCTTTTCCAGACCTAGTTGAAATTGGAAAAATCAAATTTGGCTTTGAATATTTTTTAATTAATTTCAAGATTTCATCACCTAGTGAATGTGAAATATTATATTTTGTTATCAAAATCATGAACTCTTTGTATTCTTCACTTGGAAAAGTTGAGTAATTTTTTTCTTCTACATTCTCATTAATGTGGATGCCAGGAAAATTATCAAGAAAATCATAAGAATGTTTTGATGTATTATCAAATTCTTTGTAAAAAGTATTGTCAACAGATACATCATTAATTGTAAATTCAGCAGATACATTGTTGGTTGAAAGTTCATCAATACTATATTTTGTAATATTAATATCTTCTTTGTGTTTTTTCTTTACCATTGATTCATTCAAATCAACTAAATTAACATCATTGCTATCATAATGTAATTTCAACTTATGTGTTTTTCTATGGTTTGAGAGTGCTTGTTGCATAGAAAAATTTTTAGAGCAGGAATTACAGGAATACTTTTTCATTTTTTGATTCTTTGATTTTTTCGTGTAACAATGATCTATTATTTATATGTATGTACGCGTAATGATAAAATATATTTTTATTTTAAACTTTTCTTTCCCAATACTAATACTAATATTAAAAATGTCACAGCCGGGAAAAAGAAAATACCTTTTGAGAGGCTCATCAAATAAAAAATCCAAAAGTGTGCTGAGTGAATCTACTAAAGTTAACACTAATCATAATATCACTACTAAGCCTACTACTTCAGTCCAAGAAATTATAAATAAAATTGGTCAATCTAATGGTAATAGGAAAAACAACATGTCTAATGTCAGTGGTTCCTTGTCACCCATTAATGTATGTGATGACATTGAACTTGGAGAAGTTGTAATTCACACTGAAAGTAATAATATTAAGATTGGTGAAAATAGTAATAATAATAATGACAATGATGGTTTGTTTTATTTTTATTTATTTTATTATAGGGATGTTAATCAGTCCTTTGGGACTGGGTCCCAAAAAGTCCGGGACTGAACTGTTTCAGGTTCGGTCCTACCA